TGACCTTCTTGCCATCCTGTAGGCAGCAAATTCATAACTACTACACCATGTTATTACCGAGCGCTAGAGAAGTGAGCGGGGCTGGTTAATGGAGTCTGTATGTGCTCTGTATTTTAGGGAGCAAAGAACCATGGTGTGGTGATGCCAGATGCCAATAAAGAGAACACCTTGAACCAGCTGGTTGGAGCTGCCTTTGGAGCAGCTGGCCAACGCTGTATGGCCCTGTCTACAGCAATTTTAGTGGGAGAAGCACAGAAATGGTTGCCAGAGTTGGTGGAAAGAGCCAAAAATCTACGTGTAAATGCAGGTACAGATCCTGATAATTTCTTACCAGCTACTTTGCTTCTGTAGAACTGTGGCTTTTTAGGTTGGTGTGTCTGCCATATTGTAGTGTGTCTGTTGGAGCTGTTGGCTCTGTAGGCTTGATCCATAAGGATGGGAGCTAGCAGATTGTCTGGATTGGGACACAGAGCCCTAGACTTGGAGTTAGGAATATGTAGGTAGGAATGGCAGTACAACTGTGCTGCAAAATTTACAGGTTTGGTTTTAACTGGAACTTTGAGATTATGTCCCATATAGAACACAAACATTTTACATAGCAATCTCATTTACAGGTCCTTCCAATTTGTAGTAAGCATACAGTAAGAGGGAAAAATGGAAACAAGTACTTTTGAGATTGATATTAGAATTCTCCTGCTTTTCATTTGTTTCAAATAAAGTCTTGCATGGAGGAAAAGTTTTCTTCCCAGTGATTAAAACTATGCTTATGACTTCTCTTGTTTGTTGATTATGTTTCTTAATGGTACAAATCTTTGCTCCGTGTCTCAGAAACATCAGAATTTTCCTATTTTTTCCTGCTAATGTAGTTACCTTCATTATGCCTAAGAGGAACAGTTAAAAACTTTGCATCTCTGCCTCTCTGCAGGAGACCAGCCTGGAGCAGACCTAGGGCCTCTAATCAGTCCCCAGGCCAAGCAAAGGGTTTGCCACCTGATTCAGAAAGGAGTAGAAGAAGGTGCCAGTCTTCTTCTGGATGGACGTAATATCAAAGTGAAGGGCTATGAAAACGGCAATTTTGTTGGACCAACGATCCTTGCCAATGTCAAGGTGACCTAACAAAAACTGCTTGATGCTGTATGTTGCAGGATCATTTGAAAAATGAGTCAGCCAAATTGGTCAGTATTCAGGATTCACCACATAGAAATCTCATAAATAACTCAGTTTTCCCTTGCACAATTCCAATGAAGTGCTGGTTGTGTAATGTTGCTGTGGAGGTGATGAAAGAATTCTCAGGGACAGAACGATATTAATAAAATTACTGATATGAATAAAGTTAATAATCTTAACTTTTTTTGAATGTAGCCAATTGGAAGAACATATGGACAGTTTGTACAGTGTCAAATTAAATGTCCACTGAGCATTGTGTACTTTCTGTAGCAATGGCCAGCAGCAGATGCCTAAAGAAGATTATGACTAACAGCCAAACATGAAATTTTCCTGTCTGCCCATTATACATTCCTACACTTTGCACCTTCCTATTTATAGATATCAATATAATGCACAGCGTTCTCTATGGGAGAAAATTTTTTTTACCAGGCACACATCTCAAGTCAGTTTTCATATCTAAGTTCTCCTTTTTAATGTTTATGCCATCAGCTGTGTTAATTACTGTTTAAGTATTAGATTCATTTTGGGCCCTCTGGTGTGATTCCAACGTGGCATACCAGTCTTGATAGTTCTGCTATTGTTGTATTCCTACGATTTTATGGATTAAATGCTGTTTATATATTTCCAGCTTTTAATCTGTTTCATAGTTTTCCTGCACTGTTTTCATTAAAGATCTAAAAGTGTTTCACTTTCCTTTAATGCATTGTAAATAGTATTCAGAAGTAAAAGTTTCCTGAGTGTTTTTTATTTGTAGTTCTTTATATATGGTCAATATTAATAGTTCAATATTAACCACATACAGCTTACCTGTCAGGTGCCTATTTTGTAGTTTGTTGTGTTAGTTATTAATGATTAAAGTAATTCCTAACTGGTACTTCTGTGTTTGTCAGATACTGCTTATTATCAAGCATAAGTCCTGGGCACTGAGTTTCAGAGAACTGCAGGTTATCAGCAACATATGAAGTAAACTATCCTGAATTAATCCTGGCTTTAATCAGCTTTGAGCAAAGAGTAGACCTGTAACTCATGTTAGGCAGGCAGTAAAAGCAGAAAGTACTTCAGCAATTACAAATTGTACCCTCCTTAGTAGATAGGTGGCAGGGCATGGGAAACAGTGGAATGACAACCAGGACTGAAGGCAATGGAATATGATGGGTGATTCTAGGGATACCCTGAGCTTGAGCACTTGATGTGTTTATATCCTCTTTCCTAGGGTATTTGATATATTATAGCCTATTTATTATATTCAATATCCAGTCTGCTTTTTCTGTTGTTTGTCTTGGCAGCCAAACATGACTTGTTACAAGGAGGAAATCTTTGGGCCTGTCTTAGTGGTTCTGGAAGCAGACACTTTGGATGATGCAATTGAGATGGTGAACAGTAACCCCTATGGAAATGGAACTGCAATCTTCACCACCAATGGAGCCACAGCTCGGAAGTATTCTCACTTAGTAGATGTGGGGCAGGTATGTTCAAGCCAGAATTATTGCTATTGATACTCACTCACCATTTGTGGTAAATAGCCATCCAGCTACTAATCGCTGACTACTCAGCCAACACTGCCCAGCTTCAGATTAAAAGATACAGAATATTTTGGAGAGTGCTCTGCAATCTGCTGTTTTTTTATCTTGTGTGTAATATGGTGGCTATCTTTTGCTTTAGGTGGGTGTCAATGTTCCAATTCCAGTACCTCTGCCCATGTTCTCTTTCACTGGTTCTCGTGCTTCTTTCAGAGGAGATACAAATTTCTATGGCAAACAGGTAACTTGCCAAATTTCAGATTACTTTCTTAGGTTGATCTGAAGAAAATCACGTTAGCAATGGCAATGGGAAAATAGTCATCAAATCTCCCCTTACTGGGGGGAGATTTGAGAAGGGAGCAAGAACTAAAATAGCAAGCTTTCCCATAGGGCCAGAATCTTTGGGGAACTGTTGAAAGGAATAAGTTGACAGGAATTGTTCCCATGTAGGGAAACACAGTGCACTGTAGATATGGGAAACAACTGCTTGCTACACCTGTGGCACAGATATGAAGAATTCCTAAGGCCAAATATCTGATCTTTGCATCTCTTTCCCCCAGGGAGTGCAGTTCTACACACAGCTGAAAACTATCATTTCTCAATGGAAAGAGGAAGATGCCACTGTTACCAAGCCTGCTGTGGTTATGCCAACTATGGGGAACTAAATCAGCCTTTAAAGATGCTGTCTCTGGTGCCCCTCTCTTTCCATGTTGCAATTGTCCTGACTATCATGGTTTCCTTGGGAATAAATAGAAAACTTCGTTTTCTAAGGGCCTCTTTTTCTATGTAGATCAGGCAAGTTTAAAATGCACAGTCTGGGTTTTCTGTTGCTGTGATTGTTTTTGTATAACTACGAGGAAGAAACTATCCTATCTAATTGAAAGGGAAAATGGATGGGCTTTACTTTGTGTTTCTTTCTAGACCTTCTGAACATGAACGTTATTCTGCTTTTGGCTGCAGCACTTCTAGCCTTAGCGATTCACTACCGGCTACATCTTGTAGCAGTTTTCTTTACCACTTTCTTACATGTTGAGATTGTGAGCTCACCATACTCAGATGAGTATTCACTTTGAGTGATGTGACTGGGACACTTTGGATGTGTCACAGAAGTGACTTCTACGTACAATGAAGACAGCAAGTTTTGGAGTTGAAACTGTCAGTCTTTTGTCAATTGAGGAATTTCCAAAATACCTGGGAAATATCTTTCTAAGGATTTTTCGGGGAAGCGCATTTGATCACTTGTCTAAGGATAAAATAAATACCTGCATCGCATAGTAACCTTCACTGTGCCTCTTACAGCTGGAAATTGTTCCTGTTGTACACATGGCTTGCATTCTCCAGCTTACTATCAGTTCCATTATACCTGGAAGTTGGTTGGTGCCTTTTTACTTACAGTAATGTGCCTGCAGATCCTTTAAGACAGTGGAACTGTGGAAGCAGAAACATGTGTGTATGTCTTGCATCATAAGATCATGTCAGTTTAGTTGGTAGGAAGAATAGGTAAACAGGTCAGTAGGAGGAAACACCTGATTTAATCACAAAGCAATTAGGCCTGTTCTGTGTGTTTTCCTGAATATAAATGTATTTTTTGTGTGTGTGTTTGATCAACTCTGTCACATTTGCTCAAACACAGTCATGTCCTCTAGGGACTGCAGATCCCAGTGCTAGAGATGGGTAAGTCTTGCTATACCCTGTTCTTATACGTGCATTTGGAGCTGGATAGCCTATATTTTTATTCTTGCTTCCTAGAAGATGAAGCCATGAGGGGGGGTGGGAAGGGGAAAATCTGCAGGGACTTCATTCAAGTACCCATGGAAAATGATACTATTCTAAATGATTGTAATCATTACTTGTTCTGATTAAAAAAAATCTGAATGTGAAGACTCTGTATCCTGCCTTCTGATAAAGATACAATATAACACATGCTTATTAGAGTAACTACTGGTGATCCACTAATGTTTCTATCTTATTTTGTTGGTTTTTTTTCCTTCTGGTATACTCTAGAGGGAAAATTATCACCTTGCAATTTGATTATGAATTAAAAATTTGCTAATCACTGCAGAAAGTGATTGCTCTTGATAAGATATTCTATAGGTGTTCTGTTGACCGTATTACCCTCTTTGCAGAGGCTGGCATACCAATTTCTTTTGTAACCTCTGTATAAATCCTTCTTTTTTAAAAAAAAAAGAAAAGAAAAAAAGAAAAAAAAGAAAAACAGTATTTCAAGAACTCCTGTAGTCATTTCCTCATACAGCATTCCAAGGAGTGCCTTGGTTCTATTTCCACATATCTATTATGTGATCGCAAAAGCTCTTAAGCCCCATACACTTGACTTTATTGCAAACTGAAAATACATCTTTAATCAAGTTACCACCCCAGTGCTGCATTCAGCAGGTAAGATGTAGAATTGCAGCTTTGCTCACAAGGTAACTCGCAAAGTGAAAATTGCAGATGAGTCTGTAAGTGCTGTGGAAGTTGTTCCTGTTGATGCCATGCGTACCGCTGCCTTCCTCTACCCGTAGTGTTAACATCTGAGTACATGGAAGGATTACTGCACAAGATGACAACTCATAATTCAGCCTGCTGTGTAATGAATATCTGGTTGGAAGAAATATTTTCTGTGCTGAAAAGATAAAATATTCTAGGTAAATCACTAATAACACCTTGACATTCATTCATATATCTGGGAAAGGAATATAAAGTAATAATCTGTACTACAGTCTACAGTCATTTGCTTTCGAATCACTGATTTTCTTCCCAATCAGTATTGCTATTCTGACTTTTCTGTTCAAAGCACAACCTCTTTCTTTTATAAATTCTGAGATTTACTTTGATAGCAAAATTAGTCTTTATTACAAAGCTTGCCTGCTGGATGGAGTTCTGCAGGAGTCACTGCACTTCTTCCACACTTGTGTGCAAATTCATTTTCTGATCATTTGCATTTCCCACAGCATTTTGAAATCAGATTATTTTAAGTGTATCAGGAATACAAATTTTTATCTGCCTTTTTAGTTAATTAAACATCTTTTTAGATCAAGCTGCAGATTCTCACTCATCATGATGTACATGCTTCATCTCATCTCACTGCTATTATGGCTTTTCACCCGCCTGTTTGTTATCCTTTTTAATTAACATATGCTATACAAGCTAAAGAATATCTTCTGTATTATACAAAAATGTAATCTCACTATGAAGGATTTCAAATTTCTGCAGTCTCTATTAAAACACAATTTTATAGTCAACCCCTGGTTTTTGGCTTGTTTTTATTTTTTTTTGCCTGGAGGACATTGCAGTCTAGATTCTCAAAACTGTTTAACAGTGTAAGTCCTAAAAAAATGTACATTTCAATAGTTTAACCGTATTTGAGAACTAGGCTCTGCAATTTCTGCTTCTGTTTTCCCTGTCTGTACAAAAAAAGCCACCAGTCACTTCCACACCTGTTTCTGGAAGTGGCAGTCAGCCTCTTAGAAGGAGCTCTCTCATCTTCCCATTAAAATCCCTCCATGGATTCTTTATGAATGTTATCTGCTCATCTGGTTCCTGAGTGTTAGGTTTTCAGCTGTGAGTGTTTGACTGCCTCATATCTGACATAGTGCTCCATGATAACATGGTAGAACTCCTCCATTCATTTCTTCAGGGTAAATTGATTTCACTTGCCTTAGAGTATTATAAACAGCTGCATATCACATCTGAGTCTGTCTCTGAAAACCAGGCATATGAATGCTTACAGCAATTAGACAGATAAATGTGATAGAAAAGCACATTTCACCAGAGATGTAATGACAGAAGGATCTGCACAATAGAAAGGTGCTATAAAGGAAAAGAAGAAGATTGCTTACATGTATCAGAAGATTCCAGATTCACAGGAGAAAGCACCACCAGGGAGGGATCTCCAAAAAGAGATCCTTCCCCAGCAGCAGTCAGCCTTGAAATGAGGTCTCAGAGGTGCAGCCAGGCTCCACCCTTTCTGGTCACACAGCTGAATTGCCTTCACCTGTGCCCCCAGGACTGACAGACTCCTTTCCCCAGGTGCTCAATCAGTGGTTCGGGCCGTGGCTCAGCAGTTCCTGTACATCACTCCCCACACACCTATCACTTTTAAGTGATCCTATACTGAAAAATCAGCTTAATATATTTTGTCATTTAATCAAAACTCTCTGTTCTAGATGAAATATGGCTCTCTGTACAACTGTAGCTTTCACTTTTTTTCCTCTAAAAATACTAAAGCTGCTTTTTTGATAAGAAGAAGCTTTAAGATAGCACGAGATTTTTATTTTTTTGTGTTTGTCATGAAAAGCTGAGTTGACCCCCTACTAAAAGATCACTACGACTAGAAATATAAAAGTAAGTAACAAATCCCTCACTTGTCACACATACATTTCTTTGTATACATCTGTCTACGCCAATACAGATCTTTAGATAAACTACATTATTTTGAAAGGAGGAGGGATGACAAAGAGAATTACATTATCAGGACTGTGGAGATGTTAAACAGTGTAGTAAAATTTAGTGTCTTACCCAGCTGTACTTTCTTTGTTACCATCAGCAGGAGTTGGAGTTGAAGTAGCCAGATCTCTCCTGTATTTCCTGTGAGGGGGAAACAACAGCAAAGTTATTGTCATCTGAGGGTGATGTAAACTCAACTAGATTTCTAATCCCTTAGCAAACTCCTTGTTTTCTAAAGAGAGTAGCAAGCCAGAAATGTCAGGACACTATTGGGTTATTGCAATGCACTATCTGAAATCAGCTATATGAATCAAACATACGTTCACTATTGAATTTTGTATTTTGTGGCAAAATAATTACAATTGAAAGTGAATGAGGAGAGTACAAAGCAGGCATTGTACAGGCTGTGGTCAGTGCTACTGTGCACTGTTTCTGCCCTTCAGTTATCTCTGGCTTTACAAATATAGGGTTGACTATTTCATGTTTGATGTTAGCAGAGGTCCAGATAATCCTCTTTACCACTGTGAAGACCATCCATGACTGACCACAATAATAGTTATTTGGGAATCAGGAAGGAAATGGACCAATGGCCTGATCAATTCCTTCAGTAGATATACCAGAACTGTGTTTAATTTTTTGGTTTTTTAGAGGAAGAAAAGTGCACATCCAAAATTGGTATATAACACCTCTTTCATGAGGTTAAAACATCTTACACCAAGTCACACAGTTAGCTAGATTCTTCTGGTAGATGCAGAATCTCCTCTGCTCTGGAGTTTATCAGCCAAGCTTCTGTTACAAAGCTCTGTATTCACCTACTGAAGAAACAGAATATTACCATAGATTTGTGTCATTCATTTTGGCAAAAAGTAATCTCAGGACACGCTCTTTTTGTTCCCATGTCAACTCACTGATATCTACTTTTTTAAACTGGGTATTTTCCCTGAAAAACAAAGAAAAGATCAATGGATTAGGAGAAAATGACAAAGGCATTTCTCTCACTCTGTATGTGTAGATATATGATATATAGATATAGATACATGATATGTAGATATAGATATGTCATATGATTCTGTATGTGTAGAAAGTGTTTTAAAATCTATCTGTACCTTGCAATTGGTAAGCTATTCATAGTATGTAAGTTCAGAAGATAAATTTGTGTACTGTCTTTCTAATTTCTAAATCTGTGGCTGTCTAAATAAGTAGAATAATAATAATAGAAAAAACAAACACACCACTATTTCTGTTATACAGTTATTGATTATAAATACCAGGAGGGAGGAGGCTAGTACTGATATGTATTAATTTCAAGTACATTGTCCTTTCCTTACTTTTTCATTGTTCGCACACAGGAGAGTTAACATGTAACCCACTTTTATCCTCAATTTCAGTCTTCCCCTTCTCTTCTTTCGAAGGGAAACTTTCTTAGATCTCTGTGAACTACTTTCCCCTCTGATTTTTGAATTCTGTATCATTGCTGTGATAAGCTGAACGATGCATTCTAATTGATTGCACGTCAGTGAGTTACTCATTCAACGGTTGGTGCATACTAAGCAAACATTTTATTTGGGAGTAGTATAATCGTGACCTCTCACCAAAGCTGGATGCAAATAACAGCTGTACTGGTCCCTAATTCTATGGCTTAAAGCACATGGATATTGCTGTAGTTTGTAGCAGGAGGTTAGAGATCTATAAAACTGGCTACCGTGGCATGTGTCGCCTCAATTTAAACTAAGCTGCATCCTAATATAAATTCTTAGATGCTTATAAATCAGATTTTGGTTTTTTATTTTCAAACATAATCCTGTCAATCAGTACTACAGTGCATATGATCTTCATACTGATCTTATTGTATATTTCATGCAGTAGCTTGCTTTATAGATTATTGTGAAGCTTGAAGACAACAAGCTCTGAAACTACAATGCAAAGCCGAGAACCTCTGACAAATGAACAAACAATTGAACAGGGAGTACATGCCATCTACTGGTTGCTTCAGTTAAAACTGCCAGCAGGGTACTAAGGAGCTATTAAGATTGTGACAACGTAATTTTTAGGCTTCAGTGTTGATAGGTAACTGTAGTGAGAGAAAAGAGCGTTGTGAAAATGATGCCTGTATGACCTGCAAAGACCAGAGATGCAACAATAATTATTAAAAAGAAACTGCAGAAGTACATCTATACTGAAAATTCAGTATTAACTTCCGTAGCACATTGTGGAATATGGAAAGGTCACTTTTGAGCCTGTATTCAATCTAATCCATTGAAATAATGACAGAAAGTGTAGTCAGGCACCCAGAAAGCCATTGTTAATTGATAGGATGTTACACCTCATAGTTATTCTCATTACAGCAGCGTCCACAAGTATTCCAAATCTAGACAATATAATCACAAAGATTTTGGGGTTTTTTTTTGTATTTTTTTAAGGTACAATAGGAAAATAGGCACTAGTTTTTGATGTTAAAATACCAGTAGCATTTCTCTGCTTCTTCTAGGTCTCTGTACACACTATTTGTGCTGTTCACGTTGCTATTAAATGTCTTGATTTTGGGAAACTCTTCCTTCCCTGCACACGCCTCCATCATTTTCCTGTAATAAACAGCCTGGGCCATTTCCTTATAGTGTTTTCTACTGGCTATGATCTCCCTCTTCACATGTTCCAGAGCATCCAGGAAGAACCTTTCCACTTCAGTCCTCTCATTTAAGATATTCCGAGCTAGTTTCTTCACTCGGTTCATCTCCTGATCCTTCATTTCTAGCAGGTGCTGCAGTTTCTTGATCTCGACCATGCTAGCCTGGTTTTCTATCAGTGCCTGATGCTGTGTTTTTTGAGTCTTTGTCTCAAATTCCTTAGTCTTGTGACATAAGGCCATCTCCAGTTTTTCCACTTTATGTTGCAGATCCCCTATCTGTGCTTTCTGCTTGTTGATCTGTAGGATCTTTTTTCTCATCAAACTTTCAGTGATTTCCTGAAAGATTAGAAGAAGAAATTACTTGGGCTTTTGTTTTGCACCAAATTTGGAGTTTTTTCTTTTCCCCCAGCAGTGACAGTGCAGTCAAGATGCTGGCACCTTCATACTGGAGAGTGAATATTTCTTTGGGGTCAGTTTCTTGTTTGCAACAGAAGCCAAATGAAGGTTTGATGAGTAGTGTGCACTACAGAAAGACCTATTCTTGGACCATTATGGGAGAACCTCCCTTCAGTCTCCTCCATCATTAAGATGGAATCAGTGCTCTTCTTTCTTCAGCTAACTCTGAGTTCACAGCTGCAGGCAGGTCTGGCTGTGAAGAAGTTATTCTCAGTACACTTACATCTGTTTCCAGGACTTCAAGGACCCCTTTCTGGAGGGGAATGAAACAGAACTAAAACCAGAACAGAAACCTTTTCCTGTGACAGAAGAATTTTATCCTCCTCTAACTTCTGTTTCATTTTCTGCAACTCCGTTGCCTCCTTCAGGTGAGAAGATGAAGCACCATGAAGATGAATGTTCTCTTTAAAAACTTGTCTCTCAACGCTGTTCAGCTGCCTGGACAGAGTGAAACAAAATCCATGAACGTTAATCATAAACTTTCATACTTTTTTTTAATATTAAAATCATTACTTCATCATCCTAATTTCCAAATTAAGCCTTATAGCTTAAATGCGAGTGTTGCCATCATCTTGACATTTAAAATTAGAAAAACAGCCTCAGTCATCACCGATTTTGCCCTTCAGGTCCATGCAGTAACATGGAAAAAACAGCTCTTCAAAACACAGCACTAAAATGGTTTAGTAAAGTAGAAAGCAGAAATTGCAAGAGTTTCTTACAAAACAGCTTCGTGTCGAGCAGCCTCTCTTGTCATCATTATCTTCTTCTCAGCATCTTCTTCTAGTCTTTTCTGAAAGAGAGAAAAGCCGGTTCAAACTTTGCTTGAGGCCCTTGGAACTGAAGCTTAAAACCTGTTACAGTGTAAATTCTAAAATCCTACACAAGTTTCAGTAGCACAGCTTCTTACTAATGAAAAAAGAATGAACTTCCATGGGCACTTAAGTTCCTGATAGCAGTGGAGAATAATGCCTCCCTGGGACCATGACATCCTATGCCTTTCCTTTGAAAGCTGCACCTACCCTTCATCTCAGTCATCATACTTACACTGACATGGGGAACTGCAAACTGCTGAGAAAGGAGCTGTCAGAAATAAAGAAGCCAGAATAAGCAGTGGGAGAAATCATTCTAATAAAAGTTCGTTTCATTGCCTGTCAGCTTTTACCTTCTCTTCAAGAAACCTCCTCTCCAGTCGCACAACCTCTTCCTGATGTCTCCTGTTTGCGATCTTGATATTCTTCTTTAGCTGTGATAAAAAAAATAAACCTCTGTAATACCAGTGTTTTAATTTCAGCCTCATAATTAAAAAATGCAGATGCAACAACTGAAGGAGGTACTTGGTACTTTTTTCCTGGCGCTACACCACCGTCCTCATCAAATCTTCCCACAATCTCTAAAATTCATTTCAATCTGACTTTTGGTGCTGTTCTGCTTACTCTTCATAGTTCACTTTTGCCTGTATTTTCATATCAGTCAGTCACTCACACACATGATCTATCATTCTGTTTCATGCTTAGTTTTAGGAATCTAGTTTGCCTATTCATTCAGTCATCAAGATTATTTAAAATCCAATGCCTCGAGCATCCTTAGAAAAATGCGTGACTAACTTTATTGAATGTCTTTGTTTAAAAGCAGCTATATATTAACAAACCAAATGCCACTGAGCAATCATTTTTCTCCATAGAAAACATGTTGTTTTGTTTCCAAGACCTGCATTGTAGCTGGAAAAAAAATGAGGTGAGCTGAGTCAGGAAGACAACTCAAGTTGTTTGAGGTGCCCGTTGGATCTCCTCAGTCAGCGCAGATGCTTGCTATCTCAGCTGAAATGTGTTACAGTTAATGCCACTACTTAATATGTGTAGCATAGATTCAAAACATGTACTAAATCCTCTGCTGCATCCATATATGTGCTTGTATGATTCCACATTGATTTTGTTAAAAATAAAATAAAAATTAAAAACAAGCAAACAAACAAACAAACACAACACCCTACAGCACTGGCCCATTGCAGATGCAATTTCTGGCTATGGAATTTGCTTTTTACAGAGTTAGTGCTTTTCCTCAGACTCTGTAAACTGCTGAAAGAAAACAGCCTAGTAGATCAGCTGTGTCTGTTCTCCACTCCCAAGCTCCGTTACCATAAAGCAAGAAAGGTTGCTTTTTTAGTAAGTGTTACAAACCCATCTTTATGACAAACTTACATCTTCCAGCTCTTCCTCCATAGCTGCTTTCTCCCTGCGCAATTCCTTTATTAAATTCAATTCTACTTGAATTTGGCTGATTTCTCCAACTTTTTTCTGAAATTTCTCTTCCAGTTCTTTTATTTGTTGGGTATAATAGTCTTCCTGCAATTCAGAAATAACCAGTAAGAAGGAAACAAAATGAGAGAAGCCAGCCATCAAATCTTGTAACATGAAACACATAGCACACACTACTGAATATCTGAAATCACAATGAACTGCAATGTTTTGAAAAACAAGGAATGCAAGAAATTCATCATGAGCAGAAGTGCTGCAAACTCAGCAGAAGCTACCAACCCTCTAATGAAATAAAAACCCTAGAAATGACTAGTAAGTGTAAAGCAGTATTTGGATTATCAGTCATATCCTTCTTATTCTTTATAATCTGAGGATGGGAGAAATGTTATGGAGCTTTCTTCACAGCAGATGCTGTCTTAAAGTGGAGATGAGCACAGTTCTGTGTCCCATTGTTCTTAGGACAAAAAAGTTCATTCACCAGTTTCCTGTTCTCTTCTTGTGTTCGCTGTTTCAAATCAATTAGCTCCTTCTTCAGTTTCTCAGTCTGTGAAAATAAAAATCAAGAAATGTTAACTGAGGGGGGAAGTTAGAAAGGAGTAGTGTCTGATCTGTGTTTTTCTCTTTAAAATCAATTATGAGAAGACACCAAAAGAGAAAGGTCCTCATTTGCAGTGTTCAGGCTGATTGAAGTGTACTTAAAACTGGAGAGTGAAAGAACCACCCTTGGTTTGTGCTAAGCAAGGGAAATAGTGCAAGCATGAACAATAAAAACCCAGCTGTACTAGATAGAGTTCTGTGAATTAAAACTACATGGATGGAGGGTTTTCTTCCTTACTGTTTTGGGAAATGGTGCAGCACTGAGAAGCAGTTCAGAAAAGAGGGTAAAGCAGCTGGAAAAGGGATGAGTAAGGGCTACTACTCATGATAGCTACAAGAAAAAAGGATTGGGTGCAATCAAGAGCATTGTCTCCTGTCGTTTAACCCCATCAGTGTTCTGGGGATTGATGATTTGTGCCTTAAACAGAATTTTTAAATCATTTATGAGTTCTGCTCCAAAAGTAATGCCTCCTATTTTATGTTGATGTCCCACAAGGTCAGAAGTGGATGTTAGAGCTATGGCAGTAGAGGTTAAACCTTCCCAGCAATATTCTGCTCCACGTTGTTGCCACACAACAGATGGCAGCAGAGGGGCAGTCCGACAGACCGATGTCCGACATGGAACGGCGGGATGGAGCAAAAGTGTGAATTCTGTCATGCGGAAAAAATGGCACCCATTGCCATTGGCATTCATCAACCTTTGTTGAATGGAGACCAACCGGTGGATGCAAGCACGGCAAGGTGCGGGTGGTGCCTTTCAGCAGTGGCAACAGCACATCACCTCCGCTGGTACAGATGTTTAGGAGCGTGGCACGCAGGCCCTTGTTCTTGGCTGGCGAAAGTGCATAGGTAATGGCAGTGGCTACGCTGAAAAATGGTGTTTTATAGCTGAGAATTTGCCGTATCAAATAGCGTTACTGTGCTCTTTGCAGCTGTTACAGTTTCCATGGAAATATACAGGAGGCATTACTTTCGGAGCGAGCTACGTAGTTCCAGCTCGTTTCGGAGATGCCGCTTCCCTCGGTACTCGGACTCGGAGCGGTCGGAGCGGCGCTAAGGCGCCCACCCGGCAGCCCGGCTCGCACCTCCGCCGCCCTCTCCCGGCCCTGCTCCCCGAGGAGCGCCAGCACGGCCGCCGCCTCCCTCTCCGAGTGCCGCTGCCGCTGCAGCAGCTCCGCGTTGCGCCGGGCCAGCAGCAGAGCAGCCTCGCGGTACTCGGTCCGGCCCGCTTCGGCTTCCGCCAGCCGCGCCTCCCACAGCGGGGCCCGCCCGCCCTCCATTCCGCGGCTTCCGTTACCGCCCGCTGCCGTGGAAACCGGGCGGCGACGTGCAACCCCCGCGCCAGGCGGCGCGCTGCGTGACGTGCGGTACCGGCGGGATGTGGCGCCGGCGGCGCTCCGAGCTGCCGGTGAGCGCGGGGCGGCGGGCGGGGGGACGGCTCCTCGTCGCCATGGGAACCGCATCCGGCCCCGCGCTGCCCGCTGACGGGGCCGGGCCGCGCGGGACGGGCGCTCGCGTGGCGCCTCCTTCGCGTCCGCGCCGTTACCCGCGGGAGCCGGCGCTCCTGAGGGAGCGGTAGGTGCGAGAGCTGCCGGCGGCGAGGCGTCTCGGCAGCGCCCCGGGGGCGGGAAGCGGCCCAGCGGGCTGCGGGGTCGGCGTCGAGGCGTGCGTGCCGCGAGCCCGCAGTGCCCCGTGCCACGCCGCTACAGCGGGTCAATGTTTGACTAACGTCCAACTCGGTTAACTTTCAACTTCTCGCATCGCTTCCCTGCGCCTATCCGAACGTGTTCCGCCTCTCCTATCGAGTAATGATAAACTCGAGCCCGCGCCCCGCTGACCCGCCAGTCGCAGCGTCCGCGGCCCGCAGCGGAACGGCGCGTTGAAGGACGGCGGTGCGGCGGGAGCCGGGAGGCGAGCGGCGCTCCGCTGCAGGTGCGTGCCGGGTGCGCTGCGCAGCTCGGTACCGCGCGCCGGTGCCGGCCGGCCGCTAGCGTTCGTGAACCCGCGCTCGTACTCCTGTGCCCCCGCTTGCTTTCTCCCGGCTGTTTGTTCGTCGTGTCATCCGTCCCGCTGCATTCTCACGGCATCGAGGATTTTACCTTGGTGGACGGAAACTCTTTTGGAAATAGTTTTTCTTTCTCATTGGCCGATCCCCTCCCTCCCGCCTGTCTCTACCCTAAGATGTTCCCTCCATCCTTTCTTCTGACCCACTGCTCAAATTCGTCTTTCACTGGCATTTCAGTTATTCTATGCCATCTCCCTCTGCTGGCGCTGCCCTCGTGCTCTCCTTGCCCATCTCTGCTTCTTGTGGGTGCCGGCGTGCATCTGCTTAGAAAGTCAGAACTGTTCATCGGAGAGACTCTGTGCTTTTCTCTTTTCAGGTGAGGGAGGAGGTCCTGAGGTACTGTCGTGGGATTTTTTGTGGGGGGAGAGTGGGGACCTTAGATGGACGAAGGTGGAAAGAAAGGGAGAAGCCAGGGGAGAGGTAGAGAATGGGAAGAGTGAGATGGTGCTGGATGGCTGAGAAGGGCTGCAGAAGAGGCATTTTGTACAGGAGCAGTTTAGTCAGGAGACCTGGCAAGAAGAGCATGTGTTAATGGTGGCAGTTGGTCAGATATTTTGGGATCAACTGAGATCATGCAGCTTATGTAAGTGTCACGTGTGCTGCCTGTAACAAGATTCTGGGGTTTGTTCTCAAGGCAGGTGCTCAGTTTTAGCTGTGGTTGTTTAGTAAACAACATACTTGCATTATACATCAACACCTCTCCTGAACAGCTTCACCTTCTGGTCTGTCAGAGAGGGATGGCCGGGCTGTTCATTGTGCAATCATAAAATCTCTTCTCAGAACGTGTTTGTAAGGCAGAGGGGATCCTGTGCAATCAAATAAAGGTCACAGAAGATAAGCAACGCTCCCCTTGTGTAACAGGCTGAGCTCTGTGTTTGCTCTGGAGATAGCTGAGTGCTTGAATGAGTTGGAAAGGCACTCAGAGAATGACTCAGCATGATGTGGTTTGTGAGAATGGGTAAAAGTTAATCTCCTTCTGCTCTAACTACAAACAAAGGTTGAAATAATGGAAGGTGTATAAGGGTTGAATGTGGGAGGGAAGGATGAGTGAGTTCTCTGGGCATAGGTGAAGGGTATAGGGAAATAGAAGCTATGTCAAATTCACATAGAAAGGAAAGGAGAGAGGTTAGGGATTGTAATGGGTAAGAATAGGACAGAGGTTGCAAATAAAGATTTAGAGAGGCTGAGCAAGTGAGGTTGAATGGATCTCTAAAACACAATTGAATGCTAGCACTAGAAGCAGATGAGGGCTTGAACAGAGCAGATGAGCAGGCTTATGGGGCAGAACATTCATTGCTATGAGCAAATGGGTGTGTAAGCACTTGTCTGGGGGGATGCGTGCAGCTTCTGTGTGTGAGCATGTCAACACAGGTGATTTTGCACAAGGTGGGATATCTGGCTCATTTCTGCTGTTCAAAAGTGAACAATGAAGATAGCTACATATTCTCCTTCTCTTTAACCAGACACCATTATGAAGCCATCTTTTCTTTATTAGCATTTGTTAGTAAAGAACTTTTGCAAAGAAATGCACAAGAACAGAAAGGAGATATAGTTGTTGATATAGTACTGATATCCAGTACTGAGACTCTTGATTTCACCCAAGGGCCTTGGCTTACTAGAAACTGATGTTAGGAGCTTCTTGTAAGCAATTTGAGTGTTTGGGATGACTGGGCCACTGGAAAACTGTGCTTTTTGGTTTTGTTTTCTCATTCTGAGAATGAAAACTCTCAGGAGAAAAGGGTGAAGAAACTAAATGAAGGGAGAAGTGTGAAAAATAGAGAAGAAAGGTACTGAGAGGCAGAACCCAGGTGCGCATCACAGCTTGGTCCCTCTTGTGCAGCACAGGAGCCCTTGGGAGCCAGGATGCTGCCTTCACTCTGTGCACTGATCTTTCCCAGAAGCTGCTCAGAGCCTGAGATAAAATTCTCTTTCTTTGAATAATACTTGTGTTTTGCCACAGCATCTCATGCATATAAATATCAGGGCAAAGTGGCTCTGCCTTGAGCTCCCCTTTGATGGTGCTTCTATTCAGACAGTATTTGGGCTTCCTGGAGTTTCTGGGAGCTGTAAAACTTGAGACTTTTAAAGCCAAAGTGGAGAAAAAAATGCCCAAATAAAGTAAAAGCTAGAAATACTGGGGAAAACTCGTACTTCAACTCTTCTGCATTTGGGAAATGGAGAAATCTTTACTGTGAAAGAACAAAACACTTAGATGCAGTTCTAGCATCAAAATGCAGTAAATAATAACTTGTGGATGAGGTGCTGAAAAGCTATTTTCTATCCAAAGGGCAGAATATTTGTGTAGAGACAGAACTTTTTCTACAGAGTTGGTTAGGAGAGGACTCTTAGTAACTTTCCTTCCTATTTGTTTTTCCCTGCAGGATCTACACCAGCTCTATGACTGTTGACCCACGCTTGACCGCCTCAAGTGATCCTGGCATGATGACATCTTCCAGACTCCCCATCCTTCTAGCACTGGTCTTTTCTTCTTTGTCCCCTGTTCTTTCCCATTCAAACAGGGAGATGTGGTTTCAGGATCTCTTTCCACCTAACACGTGCCCTATAAATGCCAAGACCAACACTTTTTATGGCATAATGTTTGATGCAGGAAGCACTGGAACCCGGATCCACATTTATACCTTTGTGCAGAAGAGCCCAGGTGAGACCCTGTGTCAGTCTGTGCACCTGCCACATGTTGACTCAGGTTCCGTTTCCACACGAGAGGATTTTGTTTGCATCAATACGGAATTTGGGATCAACTGAAGATTTCTCCTGTTTATCGTTCAGGTCATCCTCCGGGGGGTGATTGATTGCCATTTATGGTGGTGTTTCACTGTGAAAAGTTCTTTCTTGCACATCTTGAGAAACCCAGAGGTTTCTTTCTGGGTATATTGAATTTCTGAAGACTTTCACCTGTGCAGTTGTTTAAAGGAATGTCCCATTGAATTGGGAAGATTTCCAAGTTGCCTGTTACCTGGAATTATATCAATAAATATTTACATTCTGTATATGTAACATTTTATATCAAAACGAAATCAATACATTAAAGAATTATAACCACCTAGGCAGTTTCCAGAACTGTAAGCAGATGCAGCACACCACAGAATATCTACATCTGACGTGGTGTGGAGGTACCCAGCTTGGCTGCACATTAAACAGAATTCGAGAGGGTGAATTAGCTTGTGTACTGTGAACCAGCAAATCTGCAAAGGTTAAAGGCTAATAAGCCCTTCAGGGCCACATGTAGTACCTGTGTACTACAGTACTGTAGTACCTCATGTGGGCTTCACATGATTTCAACATTCTTTGGGAAGGGCTGGTGCAATGTCCAACTCTGATAGATGATATGCAATACTGAGATATACATGGTAGAGCCACGCTGCTCTGGGAGCAATAAGTCACATTTGTTTGGCTTTGCAGCCAAGTGCCTGGGGACAGTCAGCTCTGTTCAGCATTCTCTGTCTTTATGAATGGGATGAATCACCTATGAATAATCAGGAGCTGACTGTAATTGCCTTAATATGAATTAATATTTCACACTTAGCTTGGGGACAAGAAAGGAAAGAAATTTCGTTAAGATTAGGCAACAGTCATGCTACATTGCTACAACTTGTGACTTACAAATGCATAATGAACAAACATCCTTCTAATTATGTTTGTAATAAATTGTTGATGAACTTGGAGGACACAAGGGCAATGTTCTGTTAAGTATGTTTCTGAAATGAAGGAGCTGTGTATTTTGGGGGATTTATTATTTGCAAGGGGAAATCAAGGAGTGTTTCTTTAACAGTGCCTCAGACAACCTTTTGGAAGCTAAAGAAGATATATATATATATATATTTGAATTGTTGATTGTTTCATGTAATGTTTCATTTGTGCAGAAATCCTTCCAGAGTTGGAAGGGGAAATATTTGAGTCTGTGAAGCCAGGTCTTTCTGCCTATGCTGATCAGCCTGAAAAGGTAAGGCTCTCTTTCATTCCCCATGAGTTGATCCTCCTTCTACTAATATCAGTTGCATTCTACCAAGCAGTTCAAATACTCAAAATTGTAATGCAGGGAGTCAAGAAAAATGTAAAGATTCTATTACTGGCTCTTCAAACCTATTGCTCCACTTTTGTGAGTTAATTTCCACACAGTAAAATGGAAACTATTACTTCATGTATTTCATCAGTGAAACAATGGCTTAATTAATTGCTTAACTGCTATATCTAATTAGATCATATGTCTTTGAGAATATTTCATCACAGCTGTAGCTGAGTAATGATTTTGGTATGGGCAATTCCTGTTTTACTGATTCTGGACTTTTGTTTTTATTCGTGTATGGAGTTTTTAAAAAATAAAGCTGGGCAGATCCATAATCTGCAATCAGGTATGTTAATTAGTACTTTATTAATAAATTTACAATTTAGAATTGTAATAAGAAACTGAAGTTAGGTGCAGCCTTCTTTATTTTCAAATGCATACGGTTGCGAATTCATGTGCAGTGCGCTTCTTTCAGGCCACTCTGATCAGGAGTCAGAAATGAGCAGCAGGGCGAAGACAGCTAAAGGAAGCGAGCTGATACAAAGAGCCAGTCCTGAGCTGAGCTGCCATTTTCCAGATCCCTTCTGCTGACAGCAAGCTCATTCACAAGCTAAAGGAGATGCCAGGCAAATGATAGATTAGATTCTGTGCCTTGCCTGCTTTAGCAGCCCTGGAGTTAGGGCTAACTTAGGGGGAGCTTCAGATTTCAGTGTGCAATGTGCTCAGCTGCATTCAGTGCTGTAAGAATTTTAGTGTGAAACTCTGGGGAAGAGTAGATGGCTCTTTTTTAAAACTTTGATAAGCTCTCTTGTGATTTCACTAAATTGTCTTGTTTATTGGGTAGGAGAAGAGAAAAATCACCACCAACAGACATTTCTAGAAATTTCACAGGAGAATGCTTATTGCTAATGCCAAACTATAATTGTTAGAGCAGTATAAATAGTTGAGAGCCCAGCAGTGATGTCTGTGCCTC